CTCGGGAGGGCTGCTCTGTCCCGGCGGGCCGTGGGTGCAGAGCGTGACTGACACGGTGGTGGGGCTCTGGGCTGCGCTCCCACCCCATCTGGTAACAGGGTGCATCATTCTGCGATAGGAGAGGGGCAGAACCAGGCTCATCCTGTCAATGGCTGTCCTCTCCCTCCAGGTGAAGGAGAACAACTACCGGGGCCATGGGGACAGCGTGGACCAGCTCTGCTGGCATCCCAGCAACCCTGACCTCTTTGTCACAGCATCTGGGGACAAAACCATCCGCATCTGGGACGTCCGCACCACCAAGTGCATCGCCACTGTCAATACCAAAGGTGAGGCTCTGCCTTCCCTCAGCTGTGGGGCACCCATGGGCAGTGGCACAGTGCTTTGGACCCTTCTTGTGGGTATTGGTGATCGGGCTGTCTTTGCTGAGTGCTGTAATCTCTGTGTTGCACTCATCTGGAAGGAGCAGACGTGAACCTGAGGACTGATGTACTCTGGTGTCAGGACTGGAGAAACTGCTGAATTACAGTGCTGGCTGTTAAAATGTCCTCTGTACTTCTTGTCTCGAGTCTGTGGGCTGCCAGGCTGGAGACTGGGGAAAGGCACATTTGCAGAGAGCTGTGATGGAAGTACAAGTTTTTGTGGATTCAAAAATCCGCAGTTATTTGAATTCATATGCTGGTTAACCCAGATACCACCGCTCTTTGGAAAGCTCCAGTTTTGAGTTGTTGGGGCTAGAAATGGCATTGTAAGATGGCATAACTGCAACTGGCCTTGTTCTTACCCCTGTTCATAGGTATTTATTGTTGTTTTATGCTTTTTTCTGGATCTCAGAGATAACTGGATTCAGAGGATCTTTGAGCTGACTTTGTTTGGAGGTTGCTGTGGTCTCATCTTGGCTGAAGTGGGAAGGGCAGTGATATAGTCATGTCAGCTTGAAGCTGCAGTCCTGTTAAGTTTGATTTTCAATAAGTATTTGCTGGACAGCTGCTGTGTGGAGTTTGTGTGTTACCCTGTAGGAATGGAAGTCCTTCCCATTTGGGAGTGGTTTGGAGTTAGCGGAGCAGATTGTGGCCTTGGATTAGGAATAAAAACTGTGTGGCTTGTGTGGATTGTTGGGTGGCAACTGGACGTGCTGCCTTTCTGTCCCTCCAGGGGAGAACATCAACATCTGCTGGAGCCCTGATGGACAGACCATTGCAGTAGGGAACAAGGATGACGTGGTCACATTCATTGATGCCAAGACGCATCGCTCCAAAGCTGAGGAACAGTTCAAGTTTGAGGTGAATGAGATCTCCTGGAACAACGATAACAACATGTTCTTCCTCACTAACGGGAACGGTTGCATCAACATCCTCAGGTAGGTGCCACGGGCAGCTGGCCTGGCTGTTGTAGATACCAGTTTGCAAGCCCCTTTGCTGCTTTTGGGGAATCTGAGTCCCACACTTCAGTGATTCCCAGCCTTCTGGGATGGGAATGAACTTGCATGGAGCTGAGGTTGCTCCAGTTCTGGGCTGGGCTCCCTGAGAGTAACCTCGATGCTTTGACTCATTCACTTGGCACTCAAGATTTCCAAGAGCATGGCCCTGCACTGGTGGTTTGCTCACAGTCCCAGTGTGCCTCATGCCTGCCCTACTTGTATTCGAACCCTACGCTTCCCTCCCTGCTTCCTGCCCTCTCTCCACAGCTACCCAGAGCTGAAACCCATTCAGTCCATCAACGCCCATCCTTCAAACTGCATCTGCATCAAATTTGATCCCATGGGAAAGTACTTTGCCACGGGCAGTGCTGACGCGTTGGTCAGCCTCTGGGATGTGGATGAACTGGTGTGTGTGAGGTGCTTCTCACGGTAGGTAGTGCTGTCCCAGAGCTGCTTGCCTCCCCTCCCTGGTGCCCGTGCAGGAGGTGGCTCACCATCTGCTTCACTCTGTGGCTGCAGGCTTGACTGGCCCGTGCGGACACTCAGCTTTAGCCACGATGGGAAGATGCTGGCGTCGGCGTCAGAAGATCACTTCATTGACATTGCAGAGGTGGAGACAGGTAACGGTTCCCTTCTGGGGAACAGCAAGGAGGGAGAAGTGCTGGTGGAGCTGGGAGGGCACTGGGAGAATCAGTCTGAGAGCGTTGCTGTGCAGAGCAGAGCGCCATGAGGGGGAGCCTCTGTCTCGTTAGTCGGTGGCAGACATGCGTGTCATGTCTGTGCCTTGTCACCAGGTGATTAAAAGGCGCTGAAGCAGCGTTCATTCCTCCTCTGCCCTGTGCGGCAGAGAAGCAGCGGGTGCCTGGCTCTGGTGTGTGTGCTGCGGGGCAGCGAAGGGCTGGAGGCTCTCCAGGCTGACATGGCCCTTTTTCCATGCAGGAGAGAAGCTCTGGGAGGTGCAGTGCGAGTCCCCCACCTTCACAGTGGCCTGGCACCCGAAGAGGCCGCTGCTGGCCTTCGCCTGTGACGACAAAGATGGCAAATATGATAGCAGCAGGGAGGCAGGAACTGTCAAGCTCTTCGGGCTCCCCAATGACTCCTAATGAATCCACACTGGGGGAGGCAGCACTCGCCTGCTCTCGGGATGGGAGGGTGCTTAGTTAGTGTAGTCAGGGTAAGGAAATGGCTCCCCTCCTTGCCCGCTTGGCAGTGCTGCGACCTCCGGCTCAGTTCAGCACATTCCGCTCTCGGGAGCATTGGTGAAAAAGCAGCTTATGTGCTGGGGAGGATGGGGGGTGCTGGCAGGGCCCCTTTGCCCTCTGAGGGCTGCTGCCTCCTCTCTGGGGCATGGTGGGGCTTGGTTCAAAGGCAAGTGGCAAAAGAAATTGTGTCACTGAAGGTGACTGCTGAGGAGCCTCCCATAAGAGGAGCTCTGCACGGGCCAGGCTCCCCAGCAGAGCTCAGCTACGTGTTGTCCCCTTGTCCCCAAGGGCTGGGTGGCAAGGGCAGCTCGGGGAGCACAGCCTGCCCCTCCCAGATGTCCCGTGTTGCTTTCCTGCACTGGGGCAGCAAGGGGGGGGGGGGGGGCGGTGA